TGGCACCCTCCTCCCTGGCACCCCTCCCTCCTCTTCCTGGCATTCTCTCCTGCCTCTCCCTGGCACCCCCTCCTCCTCCTCTTCCTGGCACCCCTCCTCCCTTCCCTCTTCCTGGCACTCCCTTCCTCTCCCTGGCACCCCTCTCCTCTCCTGCCACTCCCTCCCCTGCTCCCTCCCTGGCACCCCTCCCTCTCCTGGCACTCTCTCTCCTGCCTCCCTGGTGCACCCCCTCCTTCCCTTCCCTCTCCCTGCCCTCTCCCTGGCACTCTCCTCCTCCCTCTCCTGGCACTCTCCTCTCCCTGGCACCCCCTCCTCCTCCTCTCTCCCTGGTCTCTCCCTGGCACCCCCCTCTCTCCTGCCTCTCCCTCTCCTCCTTCCCCTTCCTGGCACTCTCTCCTTCCTCTCCCCTGGCACTCTCCTGCCCCCTGGCACCCCTCCTCTCTCCCTGGCACCCCCTCCTCTCCTGGCACCCCCTCCTGCTCCTCCCTGCCACCTCCTCTCTCCTGCCACTCTCCTGCCTCCCTGGCACTCTCTCTCCTTCTCTCCCTGGTAACTCTCTCCTGCCTCTCCCGTTCTCCTGCCTCTCCCTGGCACCCCTCCCCTTCCCTCTTCTGCACTCTCCTTCCTTTCCCTGGCACCTCTCCTGCCTCTCCCCTGGCACTCTCCTCCCTCCCCTGCCTCTCCCTGGCACTCTCTGCCTCCCCTGGCACTCTCTCCCCCTGGCACTCTCTCCCTGCCTCCCTGGGCACCCCTCCCTGTCTCCTCTGGCACCTCTCCCCCTTCCTCTTCCCTGGCACCCCTCCTTCCCTCCCTTGGCACCCTCTCCTGCCTCTCCTGCCTCTCTCCTGCCTCTCCCCAGCCTCTCCCTCCTTACTCTCTCTCCCTGGCACTCTCTCCTCCTTCCCTCTCCCCTGGCACTCTCCTCTTCCCCTGTACTCTCTGGCTTCCTCTAGCCTTCTCTCCCTTCCTCTCCCTGGCTCCCCTGCCACTCTCCTGCTCTCTCCTTGGCACTTCCTCTCCTCTCTTTTCCTCCCTGGCACTCTCTCTCCTTCCTCCCTGGCACCTCTCCTGCCTCTCCCCTGCCACTCTCTCCTGCCTCTCTCCTGGCACTCTCTCCCTGCCTCCCTGGCACCCCTCCCTGTCTCCCTCCCTGGCACCCCTCCTTCCCTCTCCCTGGCACTTCCCTCCTGCCTCTCCCTGGCACCTCTCTCCTCCTCCCTGGCACCTTCCTTCTCTCCCTGGCACACTCTCCTGTCTCTCCCTGGCACTCCCTCCTCCTCTCCCCAGCACTTCCCTCCTCCTTCCCTCCCTGGCACTCTCCTCCTTCTCTCCCTGGCACTCTCCTTCCCTGCCTCCCTGGCACTCCCTCCTTCCCTGCACTCTCCCTGTCTCCCCTGGCACCCCTCCCTCCCTTCCCTCTCCCCTGGCACCCCTCCCTCCTTCCTCTCCCTAGCTCCTCTCTCCTTCCTCTCCTTCCTCTCCCCTCTCTCCTTCCTCTCCCTCCTTCTTCCCTCCCCTCTCTCCTGTCTCTCCCTGGCACTCTCTCCTCCTTCCTCTTCCTGGTACTCTCACCTACGCCTGGGACACTGTCACTTGGCATGCTTCCTTACCTGGCAGCTCGCCCGTTACCCAGACACACAACCAGATTACTGCCACAATGGCCTCCCCTGATCCTACATCTGGAATCTCCACACCACCAATGGCACTGTCTTATAGGACCAGTGGCACTATCTTATGGCATCACTGGCATTGTCTTATATGAGTAGAGGTATTATGTTACAGAGCCAGCGACGGCACTTCATCATATAGGAACAATATCATGGAGGATTAGTGGCACTGTCTTATAATAGCAGTGAGAGCCACAATAAGTTCGTGACCTCTGCAGCAACACCACCGAGGAAGCGTGTTGGTGTCAGTAAGGAAATGTGAACCTGAATCTCTGAAATAACCATCTGATGGATTTTTGGGTAATCTTTGGTCAAATTGTCTCGGTGTTTATCATTGTTTTTGTATACCTGCACTGTCTATGTACACTATATACCTGCACTGTCTATTACCATACTCAACCAACTGAAAACTTGTATGGCTATTTTACTGAATATCTATCTATCTGTCTGTCTGTCTGTCCTGGCGTGAGAATATAATGTACAATTAACACTAAGGTGGATGACAAGAGATAAAAGCAAGGCAAAACACACCCAACAGTTAGACCTCTTGAAGCACCCTGAAGGCATAACAGTAAGCCACGTCACTATATGGCTTGGGGACATGAATGCAAATACTACTAAAGTGGAAGTTTGGAGAATATAACAACGCCGACATTAAGGTTTAAATATAACAGCAGGAAGTTTTAGTAACCCATAAACAGTAGTCAATACATAAAGCGCGTCTTCCTGGATTAACAGCAAGACATAACGGTACGGTTTGACGAGATAACGGTAAGTGAAACAGACATAACAGCAAGGCTTACATAATGATACACTGATGTAAGTAAGGATGCGAAGCCTTGACTAGGAGAAAGTTTGGGGCTGTGAGGCGCTTAGGTTATGACAGGAATGGACACAAGGCAGGCAAGATTACTGTACACTCAGGCTCGAGCAGGGGCGGGGGAGAGCGAGAGTGACAGCCTGGGGCAGAGACCACACTAGAGCCTGGGGCAGGGAGGGACACACAGCCTGGGGCAGGGGGACACACATACACACACAGCCTGTGGGGGGACACACACACACACACACACACACAGCCTGTGGCACGGGGGACACACACACACAGCCTGGGGCAGGAGAGCACACACAGCCTGGGGCAGGGGCACGCACATACAGCCTGGGGCACAGGCACACACACATACAGCCTGGGGCAGGGAGACACACACACAGCCTGGGGCAGGGAGAGACACACACACAGCCTGGGGCAGGAGACACACAGCCTGCAGGGCAGGGGAGGCACGGGTGAGTCAGCTTGTACGGTATTCCACTATTGATTCCCAGGCGGCGACAGCGGTGTGCGGGTGTTACGTCCCTCCTCCACCCGCCCATCCACCGCGATCAGCTGTGATCCTGCACCAGCTGTGATCCACCACCACCACAGTGATCCATCATTATCCACCACGATCCATTTCCATCGTCAAAGACGAACCATCACCCACTATTGATCAATCTCCCTTCTTCATGATCCACTACCACCCACAGTGATCCATCACCATCCTCACAGGTCCGTCAGCAGTTCCCGCGATCCACAGCTACCCTCTCCAGTTCATCGGGTGCGGTACTTGAACCAGGAAAACACAATGTATTCGTAGCAGTTCTCTGACACGACATAACTCGATAAATACTTCCTTACTGCCAATAAAAACTCAGTCTGCTCTCTTTACTTTACGCGGAATCTGACGCCGTGAGTATTAATGGTCAATGTGGTAAACTGAATAGTGATGAACGCAAGATAATAGGATAATATCAAGGCAGGTTCCCAAACGGTCGAGGAGACATGGTGGGGAGGAGGGTAGAGGATGGGTTGGTGAATGGGGTTAGGTGGTAGGGTGAATAGGTGGGTGGCGTACGAATGAATGGGCAGCATTGTGGGTGTGTGGGTGGATACAACAGTGTTTTGTATGATATGGATATAGGGAAGAATAGCGGGGATGAGAGGAGGGGAGGTGAGGAACAAGGCTCATCCTCCCTGCTAAACTCAGTCTCTTTAACGCTACTAGCATATGCACACCGAAACATCTTTCAGCCGCCTCCTTTACCATTACCAACCCCTACACCGACCTCCCTTACCCCAGTCCCCCCTACAAGAAGCTCCTCCCTGTTGCGCCCCCCCACTCCTATCTCTCCCAGGGCCAGACTGGAGCCCAATCTTGCCCCATCCGTCTCAACGCCGCGCTAACAAAGCCAACAAGGTTCCTCAGCTAGATATAAAAATGTCTGGTTGGCCGCATCCCTCACCTTCCTCTCCCCACCCCCATCTCTCTCTCTTTACGGACTACGAAATTCTTTCCGAACATAACGAGCGTCTGGCGTCCCTAGAGTTGTCCACCTCCTCTCTATACAACATTCCCACGCCCTTTATCCCTCCTGGGGCCCCTCGCTATAATTTTCTCCTTCAGCGTCACCTTGAGCTTTGTCTATGAGCCAACAACGTTTTTAAAATTTTTGTCTTGATTTTCTTATTTCTCATCAACCAACTTCACCCTACACCTCCCATCACCCGTCTTCACCCTACACCTCCCATCATCCATCTTCACCCTACACCTCCCATCATCCAACAAGACCTGCAGGGAGTTTGTCATGCACTCAGCGGGTCCAACCTGAGTCACCCCTCGTTTAAGGACACCATCCCCCAACACGAGGCCACATTGGTCACGCTCAATGTGTGAGGATTACTACACTGGACGTCTGCCTTATGTCATCGTTCAGGGGGATCTCGTCTGTTGATGCCTGAACGAGAGCCCGGCAGATTCACCACACCTAGAGCGAAGGCCAACCAAGAGAGAACCTTTAACACTCCAAGTAGGACATTGAGCCATCCACATTAAGGAATATTTTACGTCCTGCAGGAGATAAAACAGAAGGGGCCGCAATACACCAGCCACCGCCATGATACACACACACACAAAGTCCTCCACTGATGAAGAACCCCCTCGCCCCGTCTAAGAAGTCACCATAATGTCATGATTTAATACAGGAACGACAACCCCCGGCATTTTGATTGACCGATTAAACAAACATCTGTAAATTTGTCTCGACACCTCAAGTTAACTCGGAGCTCTGCCCCGTGAGGGTAAACTGCAGTGTGTGTGTGTGTGTGTGTGTGTGTGTGTGTGTGTGATCCTCGTACTAGAATGGGCTAGAATAAGTTGCTTTACTTGGCCAGGGAGGGAGGGAGGGGGGGGGAGTGTGTGCCAGCAGCTGCCACTCAACCCACTCTTACACTTACCTGGTCGATAACACACCAACACCTCACGTGGTTCAACTACGTAGATGAACCCTTACATGACTAACCTTGTACATGGTTTATCTTGTACGTGGCTGATGCTGTACTGTACGTGGCTGGTCCTGTACTGTACGTGGCTGGTCCTGTACTGTACATGGATGGTCCTGTACTGTACATGGCTAGTTCTGTACTGTACGTGACTGGTCCTGTACTGTACATGGCTGATCTTGTACTGTACGTGACTGGTCCTGTACTGTACATGGCTGGTCCTGTACTGTACAAGGATGGTCCTGTACTGTACATGGCTAGTTCTGTACTGTACGTGACTGGTCCTGTACTGTACATGGCTAGTTCTGTACTGTACGTGACTGGTCCTGTACTGTACGTGACTGGTCCTGTACTGTACGTGACTGGTCCTGTACTGTACATGGATGGTCCTGTACTGTACGTGGCTGGTCCTGTACTGTACATACCATCCTTATTCTTCATCCACGCTCACCTGTAAAAGGAAATAAGTGTGAATACCTCAGAATACTTTATACTATTATCGATTCATTAACAGGATACAATGATACAAACAACACACACCAACACAAACAACACACAAACAACACAAACAACACAAACCTACACAAACAACACAAACAACACACACCTACACAAACAACACACACCAACACAAACAACACACACCAACACCTGACAACACACACCAACACAAACAACACACACCTTACACAAACAACACACACCAACACCTGACAACACACACCAACACAAACAACACACCAACACAAACAACACACACCAACACAAACAACACACACCTACACAAACAACACACACCAACACAAACAACACACACCAACACCTGACACACACACCAACACAAACAACACACACCTACACAAACAACACACACCACACAAACCACACACCAACACCTGACACACACACCAACACAAACAACACACACCAACACCTGACAACACACCAACACAAACAACACACACCTACACAAACACACACACACCTGACAACACACACCAACACAAACAACACACACCCACACAAACAACACACACCAACACCACAACACACACCAACACAAACAACACACACCAACACCTGACAACACACACCAACACCACAACACACACCAACACAAACAACACACACCAACACCTGACACACACACCAACACAAACAACACACACCTACACAAACACACACACCAACACCTCACACACCAACACAAACAACACAAACAACACAAACACACACACACCAACACCACACCACCAACACAAACAACACAAACAACACACACCAACACCAAACAACACCAACACCACAACACACACCAACACAAACAACACAAACAACACACACCACACCCACAACACACACCAACACAAACACACACAACAACACAAACAACACACACCAACACCTCACCACCAACACAAACAACACACCACACACACCCAACACAAACACACACACCACCACACAAAACACACCTACACAAACAACACACACCAACACCTGACAACACACACACAACACAAACACACACCAACACCTGACAACACACACCAACACAAACAACACACACCTACACCAACAACACCAACACCTGACAACACACACCAACACAAACAACACACACCCCACAAACAACACACACCAACACCTGACACACACACCAACACAAACAACACAAACAACACAAACAACACACACCAACACCTGACAACACACACCAACACAAACAACACACAACACACACCACAACAACACACACCACCTGACAAATACACACCAACACAAACAACACACACCAACACTGACAACACAACACCAACACAAACAACACACACCAACACAAACAACACACACCAACACAAACAACACACACCCACACAAACAACACACACCTACACAACACACACACCAACACCTGACAACACACACCAACACCTACAACACACCACCAACACAAACAACACAAACACACCTGACACCACAACACAAACAACACACACAACACACCAACACAAACAACACACACCAACACAAACAACACACACCAACACAAACAACACACACCTACACAACACACACCAACACCTGACAACACACACCAACACAAACAACACACACCAACACCTGACAACACACACCTACACACCACACCTGACAACACACACCAACACCTGACACACACACCAACACAAACAACACACACCAACACCTGACAACACACACCAACACAAACAACACACACCTACACAAACAACACACACCAACACCTGACACACACACCAACACAAAACAACACAAACAACACACACCAACACCTGACAACACACACCAACACCCGACAACACACACCAACACAACAACACACACCAACACTGACAACACACACCAACACAAACAACACACACCAACACAAACAACACACACCAACACTGACAACACACACAACAACACACACACACCAACACAAACAACACACACCTACACCTGACAACACACACCAACACAAACAACACACACCAACACAAACAACACACACCAACACCTGACAACACACACCAACACAAACAACACACACCAACACAAACAACACACACCAACACTGACAACACACATAATATTATAACTCATAAAGGAACACACACACACAGAAAATATGTTCACCCGATATAAAAACAACAAGTAAACATTATATTAACCCAGTGTACCCCAGTAATGTTCTTAGTTTGAACTTTAACCACCTCCCTCCCCCCCGGTCAATATACTATGTAACTTCTCCAACTTTGACCAGTTCCCTTTATCGAGGTACTGTGTGGGTGGGTCCTCAGCCGTGCCTCTATATCTCAAGTACACGAGTCTTTAAAAAGTCCTCCTTCCACTTTTAAGGCTCGACTATAATGAACTATTCCACTTTATGTTGGTACATAATATACGGTACACTTACACGGGGAATTATATATACGGTACATAATACTACATATATTGTTTATATTTTTTTTACGAAAACCATAAACACGAGACAACAGACAAACTTATCGACCACACACACACACTAACCATAGCACAAGGAACACCACTACCAACACACCATAGAAACAGTCACAGATAAGCCAGGTGTGTGTGTGTGTGTGTTAAAAGTGTGGCAGGCTCTCACAACACCACACCCCACACCACTACCCTTATCTTATCGCCCCATCATCATCATCATCATCTGCTATACTCAAGGACGCCCGTAGTAAATCATAACATAAAGACCATAATTACAGAGTTATGTACCCGAGCTATTAATCACCCCCTATCAGTTTACATATATCATATTTTAAGGTCAACAAGAATATGAAGAGCACGTCAGAATTATTTGAAGTGAGGCATTGCGTTTTACAAGTGACGCGAAACATTAGCCAACTTCCACACAAACACACATCTTGGTACATGTCATTTCAACACTGATTCACCTGATAGAGACTTCATAACATACACCTTTCATTCTATTAATAACACCGAGGTACTAAAATTCCCAGATAGCTCATCATATCCCAATAAAAATGAAACTGTATCTACTGTGACTATCGACTGAGGTAAACACGAGTATAAATGAAGGTGTTGTGACGACTGTGACCAGACTGGACCCCCTACCTAGGCTACATTAACGAGAGTATTACACCGTGTATTATGGGTCATCGTGAGGTACCTGACTCCTTATGGGTGTAAACACGTCACTGGCCATGACATTCAATACTGACCATTACATACATTAAATATTCATAACCAACATAACATGGGCTTCATAACATGGGCTTCATAACATGTCCTTCATGACATGGCCTTCATAACAACCTACATAACGTGACCTTCATAACAAACAATATAATATGGCCTTCATAACATAACCAACATCGTCGACACATTGAGACCAAAATAAGAAGACAAACAATAAACACGTCCTTGGATACTCGACCTTGACCTGTTGTCTTAAAATTGACCTCACTCAGCGGCCCATTATCATGAGAGAGAGAACAACAACGTCTCTTGGATATTAATAATTAACACTAAAGCTAAATTAAAAACCACAGTAACTCCAACCTTTCACTTATAGTTTCGGTAAATAAAGAGACAAATCGCTAGCCACTGACATCAATGACTCACGCTGCCTAATTAACTCGAGGGGACATCCACCAGACAAGGGTCAGGTGGCCCGGAGTGGACACAAACCAGGCAGCGTAAGGTATCGCCCCCCCCTTCTTCTTCTTTGTCGGGTTAACTGGGGGAGTCAGGGAGTGTCAAGGTGTATCTCTGGTCCCCGCCTGTCACTCCCTGCTGTTACTGCTGACACTGGCAAGGGAAGGAAGGACTCCAACAACACGTCTCTCTCTCTCTCTCCACACCTCACACTCTACTTTACAAGGTGTAGTTTGTGTTTCCATAGAGCTTACACAATCCCATATCTACACTTTACCAAATACATTTAATATTTCTCTTTATCATGCTCTTCTGTGTCATCTTTTCGATTTATTATTTTTTTGTCTTTAATACTCTTATTTTTTGTAGGTTGGAATAATAAATAAAAGAAACGTCAAAGAGGAAAGTTGATAGTGATTAGCGGAACACACACACACACACACATATTCTTGGCCATTTTATCCGTAAATATTGTTTATCATTACTATTATCATTATATGTCATAATTATTGTGATTATAATCCTGATGGTTTATCATCATCATCACACACCCTCACTCAGGACCATCATAACCTTATAGGCCTACACATCCCCAACCTCAAATAAACACAGGCAGAACTTCCCTCCATCCACACACAGTTAAAACCTTCACCCTCTCTCACACACACAAAGCAAGCCACCCCACCATCCACACGTACTATCAGGCCCACCTCCACCCCTTCCCCCTTACAGCCCCCCCCCACACCCACCCCCCTTACAGAAGAAAAATTAATCGTCCTCCCCAACCCCCTGTCCACGACGACTAGCAGAGAGTAGGTGGGTCAGTAGCAGCAGGCACCAGCAGGCACCGGGGTGGGCGTCAGCTTTAAGTGGGTGAGCAGGATGTAGAAGCACACACGCACGCACGCACACATACGCACACATACATACACACGCGCGCGCGCGCACACACACACACCGGGCTACACTCCCCCAACAACAAAAACTTCCCCACCAACACCGCTCACGCCAGGACACCCCGCAGGCAAGCAAGGAGGTAGGGGGGGACGGAGGTATGAGAGGCCAAGAGGAGGCAGAAGGCGAAGTGGAATGAGGTGGTGGTGGTTATAGGGGGGAGGAGAAGTGAGGGTTAGGTTAGGTTCAACGAAATTTAATTCCTATTCTCCAAACTTCATTTTCATTCTTCTTTTTTATTTTTTTTTTACGGAGTTATATCGAGGTGACATCCCTTAAAGAATGCCATCCCGGGGCACCACTAATTAAGGTCTCACCTCA